TTCATCACCTCCTTAAAAATCTTATCTCCAAATACTGCTCCACCCTGAGGTACCAGGGATTAGGATTTCAACATAGGAATTGAGGGAAGGGGGCACAATTCCACCCATAACAGTCACGCTAAAATTTTTGTAGTTGCTTGACCATGGCATACCTCTGTACTTTTGTAAATATGTTTCTCCTCTCTAGACTCTCTTCCTTCTGCTCCAGGCTAACTTTTCTGTGTTCTGTAAGGCTCCTTTGGTTTTTGTAAGCTCACTTTAAGTGGGAAGCTTTCCCAATGTCCTAGCATGTTTGCCTCTTGTTTGTCGCACTGAATTCCTTGCAGCATCGTGGCACTGCTCTGTATCACAACTGTAACTGTTCACTTCTCTTTCCCTGCCCCAAACATACCCTCACACAGGAAACTAAGCTGTTGGCTTCCTAAAGTCCCATTTAACAATGCCTGTGGCTTCATAGTTAATACAGTGAGTGGATGGATAGAGCTTCATTTTGTGAGAAGTGCTCATGAAGACCGATGACTTTTAAGATAACAGTCATGCTGGTGGGGGCCATCAATTCTTGGCTGGCAGCCGCAACACTTCAATCTTTAACTCTCTAAGAACATTCTTCTCTCTTACAAGGACATCAGTCATATTGGATTAAGGCCTACCCTAATGACTTCATCTTAACTTGATTACATCTGCAAAGACACTACTTATAAAACAGGTGACATTCACAGGTACTAGGGGTTGGGACTTCATACTTTTCTGGGGAATGGACACAGTTTAACCCATAACAGCCAGTTATTAATGGCTCATTTAAACTATAATCTCCAAAATCAATGATTATGTAGAAATTTCTACAAGTATGAGGTGTGTACCCAAGGCTTTACACCCGAGGTGGGAGGTCTATGCAGTTACTGTCAAACAGCTGTACAGAGCCCTGCATGGGGCCCTCTAACTCTGTATGTCAATCAGAACAGCTGATGCCACCATGTAATCCACGGTATATTATAAGGCTGCCGGACCTTGGTTTCTAAAATAAGAATGTTGGTGAAAAATAGTTTTATATCAACTTTTAAAATACCATGCTTCATTGAGGTTTATATGTGGAAGAAAGGAAATATTATATAAATAATATAATTAGGACTACATTTCATGCCATCTATATGAAAACTGAAATGGGTATTTTGTATTTCCACTAAAGTTATTTGGCTATCTTAATTATTTCAGAGAAAATATGTTGTTTCACTAGAGTTTCATTAGGCAAACAAGAAAAATTGCAATTTGAAGGTTATCTTGTACCATTCTAGAGTGGACAGTAAGTAAACACAGTGATCTTACAATTTATGTTCAAAGTGGGGATGACGCAGGCAAATACCTATGAAAAGTCACATGTGATTGGCTTTAGGTTTAGACCTATGTTCTTCCAAATCAAATTCCAAGTGTGAAACTTACATTAGTTTGTTTTACATCAGCTAATATAATTGACAAGCTAATAATCAAGTCGAGGGATTGAGTCTTCTGTATCAACAGACCAGTATTAAACTACATTATTATATGCCATTTCTCATAGATATGTACTATTTGTCATAAAAGAAGATTGCCAGGAAAGCTTTAGAAAAAAGATTCCTTCTTCCAAAAAACTGGGGATCCCTGTTCACAATTTCAAAGCTATAAAAACGTCAGCATGCATGTTGATATTTACTTGTGAGAGAGGGCACAGTGGACTTTGATTTGTAGTAGCAGTTAGAGATAAAGCAACTATCGTGATCATTTGCATTTGTTTTATTTAGTTCAATTTTCCATTTGTTGAGACTTACACTGTTGCAGAAGTAATAGTTCATCCAAGGAATAATTCCAGCAGATACAGTCCAGAGGAGGAGGAAGAACCTCATGAAACTGCTTCAGAAAACAGTTTTCCTTGGAATGTAGATGGTGATTTAATGGAAGTTACATCAGAGGTCCATGTTAGGTAAGTCAAGTTATTTCATTGCCTCATATGTGCATCAGTAGACCCCAAACTAATAGCATTAATATAATGAAAGCTCTCTTCACTCAACTATCAAAGCAGGCAGTTTGTTAACTTAAAAAAAAAAAAAATCAGGGAAGCAGGGAAGCATAAACTTACCTTTATTCACCAACTGTTACATAGAGCTAAGGCATTTTCTTTGGTGTCTCTACATTGGCATTCTAAATTAAACACTATAGGTAATGCATGTTATACTTTCCATTTTGGATTTTTAAAAACTGATCAAGATCTTAAACCTAGTGAAGCCATCTGAGTAGTAGATTGTTAAAATTTAATCCCTTACTCTTTTTCTCTCACCCATTACTAATATAATAGTTTGTAAAGATTTGATAAAAGAAAATTGCTGAACACAATTAAACTTACTTTAAGAACCCTTTTACGTATTATTTAGTTGAGCAACTGGTATAAACAGGTTTAGGAACCTTGGTAGGCATTATGACTCAATGGGTAGAAGTGTGCAGGGCACCCACTAATGTGTTCTGTGGGCACACTTGACTGTCTTACAGAGGCAGTAAGAGCATTGGTCAAGGGAGAAAGTAACATCAGTAATTACTGGCGTCATCAGGCCCTCTCAGTTTGAGAGTGCAACCCTGTCATGAATGTCTGTTATCAATTTGTGGCATTATGTACCATACTCAGCTGTATGTATGTATACATATATGTGAAAAATGACAGGTTGATAAAATAATAAATTATATATATTCTTTTCTTTACAGATTACATCCAAGACTTATTAGTCTTTATGGAGGAAGCACGGAAGAAATAAATGATTCCAAAGTAACATGTAATTGTTTATAAAAGAAATGTACAAAGTAGAATTTTAACATGAAGGAATATGGCCATATTTTTGATGTTACTTAAAATTAACTTCTAGGGCTTTAAAAATCAAGATGAAAAATATGAAATAGATCAAACAATTCAGGTTTTTAGGATGTCTACTGGAACTGAAAAATATTTAATGTACTTACACCATGGTGATGCCTAAGTTTTATCAATATTTAACCTAGATAATTTCAAAGTGAAATAATTTGGATTCTTTCATTTTTCAGGTTTTGAGCCCATCAATTCTAAATTTCCTATAAGACTGCCCTGATTTTACTGATCCAGAGAAGTTAAATTTCAAAATCACATAGCTAGTTAGTGATAAAACCAGAAATAGAAGCACTTTTTCAAAATCTCTCCAATACCCTAGACTTGTCAACATTTTTTCTTTTTAGTGATTATGGTACCCATTTTATAGTTTCAAAAATTCATCATAATCAAAATAAAATGTTATAAACTTTAACTATACAAAATATCTTCCTAACTGGGCAAAATTTAGCCCACTGGGCAGTTGCGTTCCTCTACCTGAGGGGCAATCCTAGCACTTTGTGCTCAGTAATGCAGTCATTTCTGAACGGAACCAAATTTGGAGACCATCCCTGAGAAGGGAGGTCTAAATTGGGGCTTGACTTTTCCCCCTCCACATTACCCTGAAAATACTTGGCTTTTTATAATGATAAAAGCATAACAATATATAAATTTGATGAAATGTAATCCTATTGGTACACACTCTGGGTTCAGGAGGCTTTGTGCTGGGGTTTCACTGCTCAATGCCTTCACAAATCTCAGTACATTCCTCACCTCTGGGAGGGAGGGCTGATGATGGAGCTTTCACATAAAGAAATTTTTCCATAATAAGAAAGCTGTGTCCAAATTTTGAACAAGTCCAGATGAAAGTGTATTCTACAATTATCAGCATCTAGATCATATGCATGAAGTAAATGACTAGTTGAAAATGAAGAATATTTAAAATCAGAAAGAAGCTATTTCATTTTTTAAAAAAACCATATAATATGAACTCAAAATTTTAGCTAGCACTTAAACATTTCATAGACACTTTTATGTCATTTATATTCACTGTATACATTAAATCGGTATTATTTCTTCATGCACAACAGAACACTTGATTAAAATATATTTGAAGAGTAACAGAGAATAACATCGAAGCAAATTATACAGTACCCGATATGTATGATGTATTGGCCTCCTATTCTTTACAAGCTTTTTTAGTGAGGTAAAGTTTTTGTATTTTTTACAACAG